TTTAAAATGAGTACATTTTGTTGTATATAAATTATACCTCACTAAAGTTGATTTTTAAAAATATTGTTTTGGTTGGGAAGATTTCTCTGTTCCCTGAATGAAAACTTGGTCCTCTCATGACTTACCTGACCACTGTCAGGTAATTGAAAGTCCTGTGGTCACTTTAAGTCAGGGATTCACAAACTATGATTTAGCTGTCTGCTTTTGTATGTAGAGTATCTCAGGACACAGTCCTGCCCTTTTGTGTACACGTTGTCTCCACTGTTTTTGTACTACAACAGCAGAGTTGAGTAGTTGTACTACAGCCAGTGTGGCCTGAAAAGCCTGAAATATTTACTATCTGACCTTCTACGGATAAAGTTTGCCAATTCCTGCTTTAAGTCATAAAACCTAATCTCAGTTCAAAAATTAGAATGTTCACTCCAATATATTAGTCAATTTTTCAATATTCATTCAGTTGCAGGGCTTCTCCCCTGTTCGCTACTCCCCTAGGCCTGTACCTGGAGCTTTTGGGGAAGATGTGGCCTCTTCTCTCCTTTTCACTCCCTCACCCTCCATTATGTAGCCGCTGTTTATGATTTTTGCCAGGTTCTGGCACCAGAGAGAGAAGAGAGGAAGTTGAGAGACAGAAAGTTCTTAGTGACCGGTGCCCTTATAAGATGACTTTGGGCTTGGTAGACTTTAAAAGTTGACTTTCTCTCTCATGGGTACTTTAGTGTGTTCTTCAGATGCTTTCCTGTCCCCACCCGCAGCTCCCATGTCATGTTGCTCCACCCCACTTTGAGGTGTGCCTGGAGATGGAGCACCCATCAGCTCTCCAAACAGAGCTACCTCATGAAAACCTCTCCTCTCCCTTAGCTCTAATTTCTTAATTATTTTTTTTTAAATTTTTGAAGAGGGTCAAGGACTCAAGAAAATGAAATTGGTTTTTGGATTTTCTTAATAAATGGTATACATGGTGATCTGTTTTACATCTTACTTGGTACTGATACCTCTATTGAAACCTCCATTTAAACATTCCATTAAAGATAGAAGAACATGATTTTCTATGCAGTATTTAAAGCCTACCTATTTTATTCCAGCCTATTCAATGTTAACTAACGTATTGTTAACATCCTATCAGTAGAACATGAAATCCTTTGGTGGTAGACTGAATGACTTTCCACAGGCTTCATTTTCCTCATCTCTTAAATGGGAATAACCACACCAACCTTGAAGAATTCTTATAAGGGAGATAATGTATATAAAGCTGCTGTCAGGACATTGCACAGAGCAGGAACTTCACATTTGTTCTCTCTTCCTCCCTTACAGTTGTTAATGAGTTGTCTCCAGAACCATTTGTAAGAGTTACATGACCTTGGCAAGTCACTCAATCTCTGTGGACCTGTCTCATAGTCTGTAAAATAAAGAGCTGGCATTAGATATTCTCTAAGGCCCTGCAAGTTAAATTAAATCCTTTTAAATTCTTATGTGGCATTTAGTTTCCAAAGGAAAGTGAATTTTAACGTCTTTGTTTTTGAGTGTAATTATTCTCACTTGGTTACATGAATGCAGACTACCCTATTGTTATTTTGTAGAAAGTCCTATAATTTGAATTGACATTGGATATTTCCAGAGAAAAAGAAATCACTTCATTCAAACAGGCTTAATTCAAAGTCACATTTTTCTTAGAACAATGTTATTAAAAATGATCTGTTTCTAGACAACTCCAAAATAACTTGTCACATCATAAAAAAGAAAAGGCAAGATAAGAAGAAAAGATTTTGGAGTTAATAGTGTCCAAATGAGAGTGAGTAATGCTTAAAACCCATTCCACCCAAAGTTAAATAAAACTTCAGGGTTTTTGTTATCCTTTTATCTATTATTTCTATTATCCTGGGACCCAGTTTGTTCATAGAGGTAGAGAGTACAGTTCTGGATAGCAACTATAGACAGACTGCAACCTCCCTGAGGGCAGGGATCTGGCCCTACTTGTCATGTATGTCCAGCCTGTCCAGTACGGTGCTGGCCATAATGTAGGTGTTAATACAATTCTCTTGAATATCTAATTGACTAAATCTCACATTGATACTTTTCCAAAAGTATGCTAAAAAAACTTATTAATGATCATGAACTGCCATTTGATTTTCCTCTTAGTACTCTGAATACCACACTTCTGATACCGTTCCATTCCTCACCAACTTTAAGAGCAGTAGAAGCATTTTTTAAGTAAGAGAGAAGCTATGTGGGAAAGATCTGGCTGATAATAGGATGAAAAATGGACCAGGCTGCTCAGCCACCCAGTGACCAGTCCATCTTCTACAAACAACATTACTGCCAGTCCCAGGGGATTCAAGGATGAATTAGACATCACCCCTGCCCTTGGGAGAACCTGTATGCTCCCCACACACTCTTGCCGTTCCCACAGGAAACTCAACACTTTCCCCTCAGTGGAACAAGTGGAACTGCTCTGAGATTTCTCTTCTTTAGTTTTTAAAGTGCTTATGAGGTGCTTGGCTACAAAACCTTATTGTTTGTTTTTTTCCCTTCATCACCCTTCACCCCCTACATCTGCAGCTTCATAGTACAGCAACACAGCTGGCAACAGATCTGTTAAAATACCATGCTGATCATGTGGTTCTGAAAGCATTAAAACTTACTGGAGTAGAAGGAAATTTAGAGGCTTTGGCTGAATATGCCTGTAAACTCTCTGAACAGAAAGAACAGCTTGTTGAGGTGAGTAATAGGTTTGATTGCTACAGAAATTGTAGTTTAATGACAGTTCTACTACTGTGAGGGAATGTTATCATGAATACAACGTTTGGTTAACTGAGCATTTTCTCTCTCTTCTTTGGAATCTTAAAGGTATAGCAAATGTCTGTTCTATTCCTATAACAGACTGGCTTCTAAAACAAAAAATGCTAGAACTCACAAACGAACTTCTTAATCTTCTTTTCCTTTATCCTCTCAGAAAGATTAGATTTGGAGTAGAGCAGTGGAGGTATGTTGTATGACCTCATTTCTGTTTGAATCTGTCAGGGTCTCAGCATGGAAAAGAGATGGCACTCTCAAATGAAGATAATTTGAAGAGGGTTTAAGAAAGGACCTTTTCACAATTGCATTGACAGGGTGTTGGGGAAACCATGAATGAGAGAGCAGTAATTGGGGCTAGTGGTAGCAGAGCTAGTACTATCCCCAGGCCTAGATTAACAGGAGAGTGTGGAACCTGGAAGCCTTTCAGAGAACTACCTTGAGAGGTTGTGATTTTAGGACGAGGCCCAGACACAGCCCAGGGTGACCCCTGCAGGGGAGGAGTGTGGGAGTCAAGGTCCTTTCTCTCCTCATTCCTGCTCTTCTGTGGCTGGGACTGCCCATTGGCCAAACACAGCTGTAGACCATAGAGATCAGTCTCCCAGGGCAAAAAGCAGATTTGAGAAGGGAGGAGAGTGGTTAAAGAGGGACAAAGAGAAGACATCCAGCACACTATTCCTTCCCTGAACCTCTCCTGTTCTGCCCAAATCTCCGTTATGTGTTACTGGTGCTTTACCTGCCACTTTTGTTGTAATTCCAATTTGGCTTATTAATTGATATTCTAAGTCTTCTACCTTTTGAAAATATCAGATATCTGCTAGTAAAAAACCAAAAAACCAAAAAACTTAACCCATGTATACCTTGTATGTATGAGGTATGTGCTAGTCAGCATGTATATAAATGCACAGATATGAACCATCTAATTGTCTTCACATTGTCTAATATATATACCCTGCTCACCAAATCTCAAAGACTAGTGGTTGGAAGGAACCTTTAGACTAACTGGTCTGGCTTCCTCCCCTTTACTTATTTACATAGGAGCCTGAAAACTTCTGCGGAGCATTCTTAAAATGACTATAGATACATCTCCTTTATTTAAGAGATTTGCTGCTATTGTGTTTATAAACCAAATATTATGACTGTAGGGAAACTTGCTAATTTTAGGAATCCTGAAGCAAATTTTAAATTTTTTAAAATTTTTTTTCGCATTTTCTGTTTTTAGCATTAAGAGTTTCAGTAACTTCCTCTGATGTAGGATCTCTAATCATTACACCAGTCTGCCTACACCAGTATTATCTCCAATGAAAGATGTGCTTAATTAAATAAACATAAGGAGAGGAAGTATTATTTGTTGATAGAATGTGTAGCTTGTAGTAATGCTGACATAGTTTAGCTGTGAGGCCCTGGGCAAAGTCACTCCTCTGAGCCAAATTTCTTCGTACATAAAATATGTGGTCACTGCTAGATCCTTTCAAAGATTCCTCTTATTCCAGTATTCTGTGACCACCTTGCCAGATTAGGAAGTAGAAACATTATGTCATACCTTTATTTGTACCTGTTTTATTACTAGAGAATCTGTTAGTACCAATATAGTATTATAATAATCTTCTCAGTAATGTACAAATTTATTTTAATAAATTTTATTTTCTTTTTAATTATAAAAATGATACTGTGTATTGTGAAGGTTAAGAACGTGTAAGTTGAACTAGAGACATCTTCTTTCATAGACCTGTCGATTGTTGCGACATGTATCTGGGACAGAACCTCTTGAAATAACCTGTATACATGCAGAGGAGACATTTCGGGTGACTGGCCAACAGGTATGATAACAGCAGACTGTTCCTTCTATATTATGTCTTGTCTAAGTGTCATACCAATTGCACAGAAGGAAGATATAAATGGTTCTGCATAACTACAGGCCAAATCTACTAAGAGAAAGAAAGATAATGGAATTTTCATTGGTAGTGTGCTGGATCACGGCTAACCTTCCATTGGACTATCTGGTCAGCTGCCAAACTGGAGATTGGCTCATTTAACTGATGCCCTAGTTTATATCTATTTTGAATGAAGCTGTTTACAATGCAGGCTGTTAGAATATGTTTGGAGATGGTTATCATTATGTAATAAACCACAAAAATGTTCATGTTTCAACCTAATAATTATGACATAAAGAGATTAAAAAACAAAAAAAAATGTTTATTACAAATTTACTTATAATAATTTCAACTGGAAACAAAATTACTATCTTAAATTAGGCAGGTAATACTTTATATGACATTAAAATAATAATGATAACCAGAATTAGCAACATCAAAAAAATGTTTTGTTAAAATGTTAAGTGAAAAAAGGATATAGATTTGTTTGTATACTATATAAAATGTATATTCATGTGAAAAATGACTGTATGAGAATATGTAGAAATGAGAGTTCTGCTTGTTCATTGGGAGCATTGTGAGGTTTTTTTTTTTTTTTCCTGGATTTTCTGTAGTACAGATACTACTTTATCTTTGTAATTTTTAAAAGCCTTTTTAAAACTAATATCCCATTTAATATTGTACCTGTCAAATTAACCTAAGGAAAAAAGTAAAGGACATACCTTCCTTTTTTGAAATCTAAACTCTAAAATACAGTTTTCCCGGTGTTCTTATTTCATTTATTATTGTCAGCCAAAAGGACTTGCTCCTAAATTGCAATATTGGATGGTGGAAGTTGAGTTCCTGGAGCTTTGATTTATAGCTGAGAACAGAAAAAGTGACCTAGACGAAATGGTGGTTTGTGCCCTTTGGGAGAATCATGTTGGATGTTGGAGGGATGATCTTGTGCTACCCCATAGAGAAAAGTGTCAAAGACTTATCATAGAAGCAGGAACTATATGAGTGAACCTCCACCGTGATCATCTGCTAAACATTGTATTACAATCAGGGAATCTCTGTTTATTAGGAGAAACCAAGGCTTCAGTATTTGCTTATCTACGTGGGAGTCACCCTACTTACCTTGGCTGCAAATGTATTTCAGTAGAACTGGAGTGTTTGACTCTCCTGCCATATGCAATCAGCTCTCCCTCCTATCCTCAGGCTCTGCTTACCATCTGGTTGCAATTTTTGGCTTACTGTTTCTGCTGCAGCAGAGATATTAGGAATAGCCATATTTTCTTCCCCAGGATGATGGCAGAACCTGTTGTTAATAACTTCTATAATTTAAGAAGCTTTTTCTGTTCCCATGGCCTCAGCTTCTACTTCCAGTCTTTGCCAACTGTCTCACAAAAGATAATTTAAGGAAATAGAGCATACCTCTGGGATGATTTTTATTTATTCTGGATATCTCTTGCTTTAGCAATGTTATTTTTATATTTCCTTTAAAATGTTAGATCATATTCAGGGCATATGGAGCAGTTTGCACACTGTACAAAGGCCCCTAGTTGAGAAGGCAGCAGTGCTGAAACCTAGCCTGTAGTCCACTGGCAAGTTATGTGCCCGTTTTCCCTGAAGAAGGGGAGCCTTGTTCTTCTCAAAAAGCTGCCATCTGCTTGGCAAATCCTGTGCCTGTGGGACTGTGCCCAGAGGGGCACCTAGTTATAGTTCTTTCAAAGGTACTAACTGGATCAGCTAGCATGGCTCTGATCATACCAATCTTCTGCAATTTCTCCAGAGACTTCCATTCTCACTCAGAAGAAAATCCAGCCCTTTCTATATATGCTTCTCCATCACATGGCCACTGGCCACCTTCCCTTTGCTCATGTCTGTCTGTTTCTCTGGCCTATTTGCTCTTCCTTGAACATACTACAAATGCTCCCACCTCATCCCAAATGACTTTCCCTGTGGCTCCCTCACCTTTTCGTTGACCACCTAACTTAAAATACTGTGACTGCCTAATACCATCCATCCTGCTTATCCTTTATTTTTATGCATATCATTTATCCCCTTATAAAATATCTTATAATTTAATTATTTTAGTTGTCTGTCTCCCCCACTATAACGTGAGCCCCATGAAGATAGGGACACTTATTTGTTTCATTTAAAGCTGTTTCCCTAGCACCTGGGATACAGGTGCAGTACCTAGCACGCAGTAGGTAAATGACTAGCCATATGTTAGCCATATACATATGTGTGTGTGTCTGAATAATCCTATATAATGAATTCCATGAAACAGCAACATCATTTGATAGTAACACTAATGCATCTCTGTCACATGATCATATTTTCCCTCATAGCACTTACCATAATTTATAATTATTTTAATTGTATGCTTGTTTATTATTCACCAAACTCCCACTAGAATATAAGCTTCATAATAGAGGGGTTTTACCTTTTTCATTGCCATACCCCCCATACCTAGTATGATTTTTTTACACAGTGGATTCTATAAAATACTAATACTTATTGAACGAGTGTTTGATATGATATCCCCGGTCTGTGATCCCAGAAAGTAGACAGAATCAATGCCTGTTGTCATGAATAGGAGGTGAAAGGAGTGGAAGGGAAAGGAGCTGCTATACACATGTCAAAACTGGACTCCTAATTCCTAGCTCCTGGATCTTTCTTTGTGTGTTATTTAATGGACCACCAGGAAATTTCAGTAGGTTGATGGGTTCTGTTTTGAGGCGGGAGCTAAAGTGTAATTTCTGTTGAATGTCAGGTCAGGAAGTGTGTGAAGATTCAGCTTAGCCACCCATTTTCTGCCTGTATTACAAATTGCATCTGTCAAGTCTTTTGTGTTAGAGTGATTATTAAATGAAAGATAAAATATTGATTCATTAATTCATTCATGTAGCAGTTAACACAAGATAAAGTCTAAAAACCCAAATCTCAGTGGCTTCACACAATAGCAGTTTATTTCTCACTTATATCAAGTCCTGAGCGGTGGCATCGCTTTCTTTCTCGTGGCGAGCCAGGCTCTTTCATCTTGTGGCTCGCCAGTCCCTAGGACCTCAAAATCCTTGCCGGATCATGTGCGTTGAACCATCAGATGTGGAAGGGAGAGAGCACTGAGGAGCGTAAGGGAGGTGTAGTCAGGCTAGGCATGGAATTGGTGGCCCACAGGCAAGTGGACAGGACTCAGTCACATAGCCATACTCCTCTACCAGGGAGGCTGGGAGATAGAATCTTGCTTTGTGTCCAGGGGGTCGACAAAACAGATTTTGAGGAAAATATAGCTGTCTCTGCAACAGTTCATTTATTTATTCTACACATTTACTTAGCTCATGTGGTGCCATGTAAAAGTACCAGGAAGATTCCTGCTCACTTTGTGTGTATATGTGTGTTTTGTGAGAGAGGTTGTGATGTGGAAGGAGCCTGGACTTGGGAGTTAGGTAGATCTGGTTCGAGTATCAGCTCTGCATAGACTCGTTATAGGATCTTGGAATCTGGAGATCTTGGACTGGTTATATACTTGGAATCTCTGAGCTTCAGTTTTTTTAGCTGTAAAATGGGAATGCTGCTTATTTGGGAAGGGTAGTATTTTATTTGTGTGTTTGGGAGATTAGTGTACATCAGGGACCTAACACAGTATCTTACGCATGTATCTATCATGTACTCATAGGTATACGTATATGTTACTACTACCACCTCTACCACTGCTACTACTACCACTACTACTACTGCCATAGTTACCACCACCACTACCACTGCTACTGCTACTACTACCACTGCCGCTGTTACTACTACCATCACCACCACTATTACTACCACTACTACTGCCACCACTACCACTGCTGCTACTACCACCACTACTGCCACAGTTGCAACGACTGCCACTGCTACTGCCACTGTTACTACTACCATCACCGCCACTATTACTACCATTACTACTAACAGTATTATTACTATCTCTTCTACTCCATATACAGTACACTCTTTGTAGTCTGCATATAACTCTGAATTATGCTATGGAAATAACTTTGTTGAAACAGAGCTTTCCTTGAATAAAGATAATTGCTCCCGGAATGCAGGTGTGTATATAACGCATACTATTTATCCGTAAGTCAGATGATAAGAAACAGCAAGTTTTGTTCTACTATGTATATCCATATTGCCCCAGCTGGGGCCTGTGTGTGGAAATTACTTCACAGTTGTTTATTGAGTTGAATTGAATAGCACAGAATTAAGTTTGGTCTCCAAAGTGATTCTGAGGGCTAAGATTTTGAAATTCACACTGGGGTATATTTTGTTTCTTTAGATAATTTCTGCTGCTGAAACATTGACATTGCATCCATCTAGTAAAATTGCTAAAGAAAACCTAGATGTATTTTGTGAAGCTTGGGAATCCCAAATTAATGACATGTCAACACTGCTGAGAGAAATCAGTGATGTGTTTGAAGGAAGACGAGGTAAGAAACTGCCCATATGTTGAAATATATTCATGTTTAATGTGACTCTATTAGTTTTTTAATGCCAAACCTCAGATGCAAATGAATTATCTTGTTATAACCCAACTGGGTTATTTTTGTAGTAAAATATCTTTCACAGAAAAATTATAAAAATATTATTTTGTCCTTTATTTTAGTATCTAAGCAGTAAAATTTGTTGTACAACAGTGTAATTATATTTCTGTGAATTATTATTAACATTCTAGTTTTCCTATTGAAATTAAGCCACTTTTTATTTCTTCTAAATTGTTTTTTAGTTTTAGTACAAAAGCTCCTGGTTATACAGTAATTCTCTGATTTAATTCTACTATAATTTAATTCTATAACTTTATAATGAAATGAATGTAGTTATTTGATTTTCGAATTGCTTTCCTTCCACTTGGATGGAATCTCTTTCCTTGATGACTACATAATCTTGGAATATTGCCTGTGGTGGGTAAGTTCATTGGTATTTCTACAACATGTAGAATAGCACCATATGATGTATAAGAAGGCATCATTTTTACTCTTTATTTTAATATCAACTGGGAGTTTTGTTTATTTCCCATTGTATTATGCATCCTGTTATTTTTGTTTATGTGTTTTTATGTTTTTTTCTTTGAATGGCTTCTGTTAGTGTCAAATAAGCATGCTTATTTTTAAATAAAATGTTATTTAAAGTTATAGCATCAAATTACATATTTATTTTTATTGAATATGAACATTTAAACATTTTGTATTTTAAAAATACCCATTTAGGATAAATGTTGATTTGCTTAAAACTCAGGGAATGATAGACTTTGTAGTTGTAACATCATTTGTAAAGTATAATAAATGTTTACCATGCTTCTACATTTAAAGATTTCTATGATAGTCTGAATAGCATATCGTTTTGATAAAGCATTTATGATTATATGGATTTTTATATGAGGCAAGTTTCATATATTAAAAGGTAAAGTGATCTAATTGATCCACATTTAAGGAAGAATGATCACTTAGCTTAGGAATTGTTAGGAAATGAAGAGAAGTCAATTGGTGTGGTGGAAGGAAACTTGGCCTGGCTTAGCTGGAGTGTCTGTAAGGCCCAGCTCTTTCTCTAACTGGTGTCAGGCAAGCTCTTCCCTGCTTTGGGCCTGAGTGTCCTCAGCTCAGTAATGAAGGTCTTAGGCTGAGTGATCTCAGTGATCTGCCAACTCTAAAAGTCTCTTGTGAACACTACCTGAAGCTAGTGTGCTTTTGAGCTCTGGGCATGAAGATACTCCTAACTGTGTCTCCATCCTGCCTGCCTCTCTTTGAAGGTCAGAGGAATATTGTCTTCAGGTTTTTTTTTTAATCAGTTGTCATCAGCCCATGAAAGTAAGGAGGCTGAGGGAGTGCCAAAGAGTGGCCCTCAGTTTTTCTGGTATGTGATTGACTCCATGGACTTGGAACCGTGTTCCGTGTCTGCTGTGGGAAGCTTTACTAATAGCTGCAGCCAATCCGAAAAGAATGTGGCTCCAAGCCTGGGCAAGCTGATTGTCCTTTTCCAGAGCACCATTCAGCTTAGTATGGGTTTCTCTCACACTATTTTCAGTGCTGGTTACGGTTTTGTTTTCATTCATGTAAATGTGATGTGTGCCTGAATCATCACGTATACTCCTTCTGTGTCCCTGGGTCAGTGAGTTCACCATCATCTGAAACTGGAATGGTTCTGGTTTCCTTGACCAAGGGCCTGAGCTGCCTTCCGCTTTGTGTCTGGGATCCTCACCATTTCTCAACTGGTCTATTCTACTGGCATTTTGGTCTGTCTTCCCTATTTCTATAAAAAAAGGATTTATAACAGGTTTTTTTTTTTTTCTCTCAAGAAAAATAGCAGTCATTTAATAGTTATTCTCTGCCTTAATTCTGGGCCAAGGTCTGAGTAGCAATTAGAATAGTAATTAGAGGTTGATAAGCTTGAGTAGGGTTTTTTCCCCCTATAAATGTAAGTAAATTTCTTTCTTAGGGAAACAATTCTAGTTCCATTTCCTATCAAGGAATCTCTTCCTTTCTCCCTGGGATCTGAAGAATAATCTCATGTTGGGTAAGAATTGGGTAGAAGTTGAAATCCAGGTTCTGAAGCCAGACTGTCTGGGTTTCAATCCTGCCTCTGCTACTTCGTAATTTAATCTCTCTGGGTTTCAAGTTTTACGTTTATAAAATGGGGATAATAATGGCAAAACTACTTCAAATGGTGAGTACGAAGATTAAATAAGTTAATTCACAGTAAGTTTAAATGTTACCTCTATCAGCATCAGCATCATGACCACTATTACCTTATGGTAAAGCTAAATAGTTTATGAGAAAACATTGCATCCAGTTTTTCCCGTTAAGCTCAATCTCTCCTACTTTCTGGCATCCCTCTCTCCCTATGTCCTTTCCCTGACTCCAGAGAGGCTTTTGGACTAGCCTCTCTGGCCCTACCATAGTAGATCTCTTGACCTGTGCCCAGTGGAAGAGAGTGTACACTTGCTTCTCTGTACAAATGAAGCTCATCTCTTCTTCAATGGGGAATTGACACCCTCTGAAAGATTTCTCTGACTGAGCATCTAATGCAACATTAATTCAGTGCTCCCTTTTTTTCTCTCTCTGAGATTTGCCTTTCTTCTTCTTCATTTTTTTTTTTTTAACTTTGGAAAAAGGAGAACTTTATTTCTCGTAGAGGGTAGTAGACTATTGGGTGGCCATTCCGACATGCTGGGAAGCAGAGCCCCAGCCAGAAGCCAGACACACATGCTTCCAAGACTTGCCTTTCTTCTGCCAAAGTTAGTCTCTGCAAAAAACAGCTGGGGAAGTTCAGTGAAAAATAAAAGTCACAGACTACTAGGGTCTGTGTGGGTAAAATTGTAAACATGATCATTCAGAGGTATATAACCATAGTAACAAAACCATAACAATAACAGTAGCTGCCATCTATGGAGAATTTACTGTGTGCCAGGTACTTTGATAAGTATGGGATGTGCATCATCTCATTTAATCCTCTCAGTAGCCCTGTGAGACAGATATTATTTCCACATTTTATTTATGATGAAACTGAGGCTCAAAGAAGTTAAAAGGCCCAGTGTTCCACAGTGAGTAAACTATAGGGGCTGGAACTCTTATTGAGGTCTGAGCGCTGCCAAAGATGAAATTTTTTTTTTTCTTTTTTGTGACAGGGTCTTGCTCTATTGCCCAGGCTAGAGAGCAGTGCCATTATCATACCTCACTGCAACCTCAAATTCCTGGGCTCAAATGATCCTCTTGCCTCAGCCTCCTGAGTAGGTGGGACTACAGGCATGTGCCACCACACCCAGCTACATTTTCTTTTTTCTTTTCTTTTTTTTCCCGTAGAAACAGGGTCTTGCTACGTTACTTAGGCTGGTCTCGAACTCCTGGCCTGAAGCATTCCTCCCGCTTTAGCCTCCCAAAGTGCTGGGGTTACAGACTTGAGCCACCATGTCACCAACCACGGCCCAAAGATGAAATTTTATCAACCATCCACTCTCTATCACTCAAGCAGTAAAACTCCACTCTAGCCCTAAAATATTCTAATGATAATGAACCAATTCTGTAAAAAGTGCTCACTACTGAAGCTCTGAGTTCTGCTTTTTTCCCTCCCAAAGCCATTCCAGAAATAACTAGGAGATCCCAATCTTAGGCAGTTCAGAAGGTACAGAGGAAGGAAAAAGCAATGACTGGACTCTTGTTTCGGCCCACTTATTATTAGCTGAGGATGGGGCTGGCTAAATTACAGAAGAGATGTAATAATCTGTTAGTAATGGAGTCCTGGGCATATTGCCTGGCCTTTTGAATTTCAGTTTCTTTATTTCAGTGGACATAGATGAAATAATTTATTCATAGTGCTTGCAATATAGTAAGTGATAACTGATGTTTTGCTTTTGTTTTTACCATTACGTGACCTGTAACACGTCCTTTAACCTCTATCCCTGAGGTTCCCATCTTTAAAACAGGGGAATTAGACTAGATTGATACAGGCAAATATACAGCTGCCATTCCTCATTCTTGCTCCAGGACAAAAATTGCTAATTGATCTTGGTACTGTTTTCACATTGAGCTCACATGTCACCTCTCAGTCTTTCTGAACACAGTGCTCTACCACCCACCATGGATAGACCAGAGCTGAAAGGGAGAATCCTGTACTTGTTTTTGGACTACATGGTCACCGTGAATCCTTTTACTTTAAAAGCTGGATCTTATGTAAGTGGTCTCTTCTTTAGGTTTAGGTAACTTATACTGAAGAAATCAGGGTTACCTTAACTTCCTAAGGGCTGAATAGAAATTCCTCCTTAGCTGAGAAACTCTGCTGCCTTCAGTTGATGGGACACCCATTGTTTAACTGGTAAAGTGCCTCTCTGTTCAGAAAGGCATGTTGACATGGAGTTGGTTGATTTCTTGTACTGTCTTTCTTGGTCCTGACTTTTATCATGAAGCTCACGAGCATAGTTTTTTCCACAAAAAGTCTGACTCTTGGTTAGCTGGTATTGACTGGACTGAGTCCAGTGCCACAGTGTTGTTCTTGCTGTTATGTGGGGTTGTTGTGACAAACCTGCCCATTGCTTTCCATACAAAGGTGTAGTCTTCAGGTCCTGATTTCTCTTTGCTAGTATTATAAGTCATTATGACTATTATCAATAGGCCTTTGCTGTATGCTAGCCACTTTAGTTCTGCTCTGCATAACTTGACTCCTGTGATTGGGAAAATTATCGGACATGCTAGCAAGTATCATTTAACCAGCCAAGTGGCAAACATCGTACTAAGCAATGAGAGGGGGCCTTTAGTGTTCTTATATTTGGAGTCAGTCTGAGAGCTAGGTCATCGTCCACCTTAACCCAAGACGCTTAAATTTCATACTAGGACCTCTTGAAAATTTCAAGAATGTTAAAATCAATACTTGTCTTCCTCCTTTCTGCTTTCATCTTATTTGGTCTTTTCCAAACCTCCGAGGAGGCCATGGTCTTCATATT